TTTTTTGGATAAGATTTCAGTGAACTATATTAATTGTAGGTTGCAAAAAGCATGAGCTATATCTTGACGGGACAACAAGGTTAAGTCTAAGTGTAATAAGATATTTATTTATTTCTAATATTATTTTAATATTCTAAAATCATTATTTATTTTAAGTAGTTTATATGACCTTTAAAAAAATTGAAAACTAAAAAAGTGCTCGTCTTTTGGTTACTAGGCCGCATTAGGCAATAAAAGAAATAGAGTTAAATCACCATTTTCACGTCTTCATCATATTTGGGGTTTTTTTCCTCACACCACGTCTAGGCGCCCTGTCTTTTCCACTTTTTAAAACATGGAGTATAACGTTGTTTTTGGTACATATTTTCATCAGTAAGTTATTTATAAAAAAATGTTCGTCCCATTAAGATTCATACTCTCTCATATTGTAGAGCAACCACATGTTTCATTGTCTTTAAGAATGTCATGAACCTGAAAGCACATTTTTGGACAAAGGAAATCAACTCAAAGTACAAACCTTGTGTCCAAGTAAAACTGTATGGACTAGATGAAAAATTAAATAAGCATATTAGAAGTGTTTTATGGTATAGACAATGGAATACGCTACTTGAGTTGGATCATGTTTGGGTAAGCTGAAAATTATAGGCAATAATCATTAGTAATTAAGGCAAAATAAATTATAGAATACTTGTATGTCCTCTTATTATCACTTTTCTCTTTCCTTTATACTCGAAGTTGGGATAGAAAGTTTTGTTGTTATCGTTGACATCTTCAACAAAATATGATATGAGTTAAAAGCACAATAGTTTTATCTTGACAATATAGTAAGAAGTGTTCGTTACTTAAGGAGTGCACTACCTCTGGACATGTCATTAGACACACCGGTTGTGATTATTAAATATTTATACAACAAATATATTATTTGAAAGAAATAACTAAGTTGGATAAAATGCTCAATTAGTAAAAAGTGTGTAATTTGTGTGTGATGTCAGGGTTCGATTCACATCCCACGAGATTATTAAAAAGTCTTTGATTGGACATTGAGATTCCTTTGATTAAATTAATTTTTTTTTTTTATTTTACTCAATTTTGAATTTATGGGTTATACTAACCAATATAATATAACCGCTTTTAAACAACCCAGTAACAATTGTCAATATTTCTGGATCATTGATTAAAATAATATTTTATTATTTATTTTAATCATTTTCGAATTTATTTAATGGGTTAAACTAGCTAGTATAATACAGTGTTCTAAAACTCGCGAAAATGCATCGCCTAGGTGCGACGTGCGGCCAAAACGCGTCGAATTCGGCTACGCGCCGGAAAATGCGTTTCCATCTAAAAGGCGGCGCAATGCGCGCGCCTAATCCCGCCTAGGCGCGCCTAATGCGTGCATTATGCCGCCTAGGCGTGCATTATGCCACCTAATTTTTTTTATTTTTTTCTGTAAAAAATCTATTTTTTTATATAAAAATATATTTAATGCCTTACAAATACGAAACTCATTATGACGCTTATTCTTCGTATTGACAAGCCTAAACTTTTGATTCTTGATTCCCGGACTCGACGCATTGCGACGCATCACGCATTTTAGAACACTGGTATAATATGACCGTTTTTAAACAACTCAATATCAACAACACATTAAAAATTGCAAATATTTCTGGATCATTGTGGAAGTAGTTATATATTCTGTCTATATAAACACATTTGCTTTTGAGAAAATTACATAAAAAACGAAATTATCATTTTCATATTATGAAAATTTTCATACTTGAGTTTTTTATTTATATATATTTTATGGATTGCACTTGAGAATTTTGAAACAAATTCGTGATTGGGCCTTGGGCTTCCTTGGTTAAAATAATATTTTTTTATTTGTTTTAATAATTTTTCGAATTTATTTAATCAGTCAAACTAGTCAGTATAATATCACCACTTTTAAACAACTCATTATCAACAACCAATTAAAAATTGCAAATATTTTTGGATCATTGATTAAAATAATATATTTTTTAATCATTTTCGAATTTATTTAATGGGTCAAACTAGCCAGTAT